TTGAGATCAAAAGACGAAGCTTTATCTATTGAGATCAAAAGACGAAGCTGAACATAAATTTGTGGTTTTTAAAAATGAAGTCTAAAACCAATTAGACAAAAAGATTTTAAAAAAAAAAAAAAAAAAAAAAAAGGCTTCGATTCGATAGAGGGGGAGAATACGAATCAAATTCTCTTAAAACTCTGTGTGAAAATTCTGGCATTATTCATGAAGTTACAGCACCGTACACTCCCCAACAAAATGGCATTGCTGAGAGAAGAAAATAGAACTCTCAAAGAGATGATTAATGCAATGTTAATTAGTTCAGGTGCTCCGAACTCTTTATGGGGGGAAGCTGCTATAGCATACACAGCGGAAGTCTTAACTCTATAAAAACTGGAAAACTAAGAGTGTTATGCAACGTCCACGCTAAGGTGAACGCACAGACGAAAACAACATCCACATCATCAGTCTAAAGGGGCAAAGGTCAAACCATACACAAGTCTAAAATCCAACATAGAAGGCACACAGGCCCAAAACAAACTACAAAGTCTGAGGGATCTATACTATCCATTACTAGATCGCGCTCGCCACTACTCGGAACCTGAAAAGCACATAGATAAATGGGACAACGCCCGGTCAGCGAATAATGCTGGTAACCCACCAATACATGTCAATAGCATATATAGATAGATAGTTTATTGCAAAATCATTTCGAAACGGAATACTGTATATATAAGTTCAAAGCCAAGGATAGAAGTCAACCACAAGACTCTATACCACTCTCAATAAGAATAAGGGAACACATCCCAAGACAACAAGAAGTAAACAACGACAACACAAGTAAGGCTCAAGGTGTATTCTACCATCACTCAGCAGAATATCACCCGACATGCACAACACAAGAGGATAAGATACACACATTGGCAACACATGCCTTCGCGACATCACTCGTCACGAATAGAGAATTACACAACGGCAACACTTTCCCTCGTGACATCACCAATCACGAATTGATATTCCTTCCTTATGCCCGGTTCCAACCTTATGGCTACCCCCAACCTTATATCTAGTTATAGCCTTTACCTCCAGGACCCCTGTACTTCTGAGTCCAATCTTTTCCTTCCTGGGACCGTCGTCCCCCACCAACGATCACCAACAATTCCACCAATTCATAGTACACGAGGGTACCGATCACACACTTTGGCAACACATGCCTCCCAAGAAAATGTGAACCCATCACTCAGGTCACAAACTCCATAATCGCGTCATGGCCACCACGAGGACCACTGCCGTACCTTGGTGACTAATGTCTCATACCATTAATCGTGCAATCCAGGTACAGCCACACACACAACACCATCATAGGAATCAATCAACGAATCACAACGAAGATATGAAACCATACTCAACAAGAGAAGGATCACAATCCGACCACAACGATGATTAACACAAGTCATCATCCACAATAGGAAAGAACAAACCACACACGCTAGCAATTAAACACCAAACTAGCATGCTTACCAAACGGGTAAACCGAACATAGTTCCGAAGAACACACAAGACTCATCATGGTTCAACGAATCACAAGGTTGAACACTTAGCACGATTCAAGACACCAAAACCTACATGGAATCCTACCATATAGTTCTAGACATACGAAACATCAAGAAGACACTCAAATAGTTCCACAAAGAACATCGGGAAGTCAAAACACCAAATACCGAGTCAAAAGAATCACGGGGAACAAATCCCCGCACAAGCCAACATTGTACGCTGCGGGTGGGGCCACGGGTGGACCCCCACCCGTGGTTCCGCCCGCGGGAACCAACATTCCACGCCCTTGTACCCCGCAGGTGGGGCGGCGGGTAGAAGACTACCTGCCGTTCCGCCCGCGGGTACCAAACCTTGTACAAAAATATCCCTTCGGGGATTTTCAACACCAAGCTCAAATTCAAGTCCAAAACATCCAAAATCTCACCAAATACAACAAAGTGACTTGAATCAAAGGAATAGCCAAGCAATGGCATACATGAACCCTAATAACAAGCTCTAGATATGCATTTTCACAAGACAGTGCATCAACACTCACATTTCATAGCAAAATCACATGTAGAATCCAATAAATCACCATATAGGTAAGCAAAATAGATTTTGTAGAGCATGTGTTACCTCTTGTAGACTCAACTTTCACTTAAAACACTTCTCAAGGCCCTTAACAAGGTTCACCTTCAACACCCACTTCAAGAACACACCAAAAGATCATAAAGATTTCATCTTTAGGAAAAGATACCTTAGAAAACACTAAAAACACAAAAGGAACATAGATCTTACCCTCCTAGATGCTCAAGAGTAGGAAAGGTGGAATCTTGGAAACAAACTTTGAAGATCTTGGAAAGCCTAAACTTAGCTTGGAGAGAAAGCTAGCTAGGTTTTTAGAGAGAAGGAAGAGCTTTTGATTTCAAAGTGTTAGGAGAGAAATGAAAGATGTCTTCTAGGTTAGCTTGGAATACAATCATAAGGGGAAATGTCTTCTTTACCCGTACTAAGATGAAAAAGTGTAAGGGAACAAGGGAACTATTCACAAAGCTTTAGGTACAACATCTTGACTTGGGTTGACTAGTCAATTGCTAGTTCCCGACTATTAAATTTTCAGGAATTTACAACACGTCTGGTTCACAGAATAAATTTTGAGGTAATAGGAATGCTATTCCATAAGAAATGGAATAGGAAAGGAATAGAATAGGAATTGTATTCTATTGTTTGGTTCGCGGAAGGAATAGACTTTAGGAATTATATTACAGTGTTTGGTTGATTTAAGGAATAGAAATGAAATATGTTTCAAAAGACATAAATACCCTTATAAAAATATGTGATGGTGACGGTGGTGGTGGTGGTGGCGATGGTGGTGGCGGTGGTGGTGATGGTGGTGGTGGCAGTGGTGGTGGTGGTGCTGGGGTGGTAGTGGTGGTGGTGGCGGTGGCAGTGGTGGGGGCGACGGTGGTGGTGGTGACGGTGACGATTGTGGCAGTGGTGGTGGGGGTGGTGACGGTTGTGGCGGTGGTGGTGGCGGTGGTGCTGCTGGGTGGTGGTTCTGGTGGTGGTGGCAGTAGTGGTGGCGGCGGCGGCGATGGTGGTAGCGGTAGTGGTGGTGGTGGTGGTGTTAGGGTGGTAGTGGTGGTGGGGGCGGCGGTGGTGGTGGGGGCGGCGACGGTTGTGGCGATGGTGGTGGTGGTAGGCGGCGGCGGTGATGGTGGTGGTGGCGGCGGCGGTGATGGTGGTGGCGGCGACGACGGTGATGGTGGTGGCGGCGACGACGGTGGTGAAATAGGATAAATTTATATATAGGATAAATTTATATATAGGATAAAAAAAAAATTATGTTAAAGAAAGGGGTAAAAAAGAAAATAGATTCTAAAATCTATTCCTGAGCGTTCAGTAATAGAGTAATACCAGAGGGGGGGCCCTAGTAATAGCTATTACCTTATTTGAGGTAATAGGCTATTACCAGGAATATTATTCCTAGTAATAGAAATGGTTACCAAACAAAGGAATAGGCCTATTACTGGGAATGCTATGTCATTCCCGGCCTATTTCGTGAACCAAACGGGCCATTAAAGAATTAAATTACCAATTAGATTAGGATTAATTACTTAATTAATCCCTAAATAGAATTCGGATTTACGGGGTGTCACAAAATGAGTCATTTTCTAGATATCATTTTCCAAGTTTTTCAAACCGATCCTAAGAAAACTAATTATTGATAAATAGAATAAGAAAACAAATAATATTGAAAGAGACAAAGGAATATTGTGTTTCACTCTTGAATGCTTGAGTATTACAATGAAAAGTGTTAGGAGAAGACAAATGAATTAATTTCACTTTTGGTCCCACGAATTTTGAAGTCTTATCATTTTTGGTGCACAATTTTAAATTTATTGGTGTATAACTTTGTTAATTTTATTAATTTTGGTTCTTCCGGCCAAATTGACGACGAAATGTTGCGGGATTTTATATTTTAGGAAAAAATCATCTTCCCAATGAACGATCCTCAATGTCTAAACAAAAGAAAAAATCATATTAAGAGAAAAAGAAGAGTTTTACAATTGCCGACGCTATAAATCCCATAGATATGTGTCTAGTTTATGCTCGTCTTTCAAATTATTCTCATCGATCAAACACCTATGATATGATTTTACAATGATTTTCTTAAGATATTGAAGATGTTTTCTTGGGATGACGATTTTACCCTTAAAAATATAAAATCCGGAACATTTCACTGTTATTTTGATCGAAAAGGACAAAAATTGATAAAAATAACAAAGTTAAGCATCAAAATTAAAAACTTTTAAAGTTGTGCACCAAAAGTGATAGAACCTCAAAACTCGTGGACCTAAAATGAAATTAATTCCAAGACAAAATATGTCCCAAACTAGACAATGAATTTAAATCGGGGTAGATTTAAGGAATGCGTACTTTTCATAATGATTAGATGGTGTTAATGATACCAGGACCATGTGGTCTAATGGTACCTGGTTTGGACTTTCATTTGGAAGGTTGTGAGTTTGAGCCTCAGTGGAGGTGTTATGGTGTTATTAGCAGAAATCTTAATAAAGATGATGAGGTAGTGGAAAAAGATGAGAGACAAGATAAATACGGAAAAATAAAGAATGTGTAAAATCTACAGGAAGTTATTTTCCGGAATTCAAGAACCAGCCCTTAATGGTTAATTAATTGGAATCCCCGGAATAATTTTCTCCATCAATATTTATTAAAGAAAATGTAGCAGTAGAATATAGATAGGAGGCAACTTGTGAGAATTAGGAGAATCGGCAGCCATATATAATACATACTAATAAAAGATTCCCTCCAGCTGTTTGCTGGTGCAATATACAGATCAAAGTTGCTATGACAGATTAATTATTGTACTGAACTCTAGTCCTCACATACTGAAGACAACATAATCCTGCCCTACACTGCCCTGGGTTAAGTTGTTCATATTTTTAGAAGTAGAAACAAGCTGACAATATAAATTACCAACAGTAAAAATAATTTTTCATGTTATAGTAGTTTCCCTTTATTTTCTTCCAGTAACAACTCCATAAAGCCCTGAAGAATGCCACTGCTTATTACAGAGAAAATTCCCAAATAACACTACCTACTTAAAACAAAGGAAATGCCAATTCAGATCAGAGCTTGAAATGCAACAAGGCTGAAGTTCCATCAAGACCCTTTGCATGAAAATGTGCTACATACTCCTTGACTGTGGTTTCCCTATACTTGGGTGGATTCTCATCTGACAATACTTCCTTAATTGGTCCATAAATCCATGGCAATGGCAACAAGAATGTGCTAAAGAAACATGCCACTGATATCCTCGGACCACATTGGCTAGCCAGCACTCGGTGTTCTGAGCTCTTGAACCTATCATTCGTCACAAGCTGCTTCCAGAAAAGAAATACAGTAAATTTGCTTTTTATCAAAAAATGGGTCAAACAAGTTCAAATCAAAATGCCAGCTTTAGCACAAATTTAAATAAACACTACATCTGAGTGATAATTTATTAAATGAGATAATGAAAGCTAAGGTAAGGCTTGCCTGGAGAAGATCTCCGATGTTGACAACTAGAGCTCCTGGAGAAGGGGGGACATCAATCCACTGGTTCTGGTAGAGAACTTGAAGGCCACCTGTATGATCTTGAAGCAAAATTGTGAGAAAATCGTTATCTGCATGCTTGCTGGTGCCAAAAGTCAAGTCTGGTTCTGGACAGGCTGGGTAGTAATGCCCCAAAAGAGCTAGCCCCTTGTTGCACTCAATGTCTTTGAGATAGTTTGGATGGAGTCCTAAAGCCTCTGATAATAGTTCAAAACAAACACCCCCTAGTTTCTCCACTTCTTTTGAGTATTTTATAAGAATATCACTGCATCAATGGTTAATCTAATTACACATGAGGATGGATCTTGTAGTTCAATGGCATATATAGACTTAAAACTCTACAGGCCGGATTAGTTTAGAAGGAAATGATTAAAAGATCAGGAGGCTAAACATAGAAACAGAATCAATATAGAAAACACAAATTAAGAAACCTGCAAATACGAGGAAGTTCTTGAGGGTGAGGGGGATTAGGAGCCATGTTGCAGTGCAAAGTATCCCTCCAATTAGCTGCTGGTGCAGTGTACAGATCAAAGTTGCAGTTGTACACTACCCTCCTTGATCGATCTCGTGTATACCATTCCTTCTTCTCCTCTGTATCTTGCTCATGGAATCCTCGTACCCCTCTCATCATTTCCTCCAAAACATTACCTGGGATCCCATGATTCACCACCTGGAAGAATCCCCATGTTGCAGATGCTTCTCCAACTGCCTTAACAACCTCCCTGCGCTTCATCTCATTCCCATGAATGCCTTGAAGGTCTATGATTGGGATGTTGTGTTTGTTGGCAGTTGAAATTGATGAGTAGTTTTGGGTTGTTTTTGGATGAATGAATATTCCTGGGACTTTGGTTATGCCTGCATCCACAAGACCCTTAACACCAGCTTTAGTCTCATCGAAGGCTTTCAACTCACTTTGCCTATCATATGTCTCTCCATTCTCATGGTGAAATTGGTTCAAGTTTTTTGCTTCCATTTTAACACTATTTTAGATGTAGCCTTGCTCACAACCTCAATCATATATACTGAGGAACTTTGTACTGGCTTTTTAAAAGTAGGGAAAACGTGCTGGGAGTTTTTTTGCTTTGTAGTAGGGAAAAATTTTGGAAAATGGATCGTAAGCTCAAACTATTGTGTGGACCAGTGTAGGGGACAATGCTATGTGGATCATAACAAAAACTGCATATTTAATATATTTTATATATTATTTGTGTATTGTATGTATATTATATAAACTAATGTGTTTTTAATACACAAATAATGTACTTTTTTCTGAATACAATGATATACCAAAAGTACATTATATTATTAATGTACTGAATGTACATTATTTTATAATAGGTACAAGTGTCAAATAGACTCATCTATTACTGCGAAGTGCTCAATTCTCACCACGAACTAAATTAAGTGTCAAATAGGCCTATCTATCAGCTAAATTTGTTCAATTGACATTTTTTACAGGTTGCCTATTTAATTATTATAAATAAATAAATAAATAAATAAATAAATAGAATAAAAAATTTAAAAATTTAAAAAAAAAAAAAAAAAAAAAAAGATTATCAGCCACGTGCTGTCTGGCGCAGCTGTCTGCGAAAGGGCAGCCACCAGCTGTCCGACTGATATTCTTTTTTTTTTTAAATTTTTTATTCTATTTATTTATTTATTTTTAATAATTAGATAGGCAACCTGCTAGCAACCTGTAAAAAATGCTAATCGAACAAATTTAGCTGGTAGATGAGCCTATTTGACACTTAATTTAGTTCGTGGTGAGAATTGAGCACTTCGCAGTAATAGATGGGTCGAGTTTTTTGCACTTTTAGTCCCACGACTATAGTGGCACTGGCAGAATTGATCCACGACTTTTGAACCTTGCAATTTTAGTCCACGACTATTGATTTTTTTGCAAAAATGGTCCTTCCGGCCACTTTTCCGTCAAAATTTCATCGGAAAAAAAAAATTCTCTATTTTTAGTCGGGTTAAAATTGACATTTTACTTATCTCAAAAAATTAAAAGAAAAAAATTGATATTTGACTACATACAATATTACTGGGCTACATACTACTACCCCAAGCGGCGGAGTTCCTGGAGCAGTCCAATGCTGCTGCCGGATAACCTAACTAGCCCGGGAAACGCCACGACCGCTCCGCCGCTTACTGACAGCCCTGCCTGCTCCAGGAACTCCGCCGCATGGGGCAGTAGTATGTAGCCCAGTAATATTGTATGTAGTCAAATATCAATTTTTTTCTTTTAATTTTTTGAGATAAGTAAAATGTCAATTTTAACCCGACTAAAAATGGAGAATTTTTTTTTCCGGTAAAATTTTGACGGAAAAGTGGCCGGAAGGACCATTTTTGTAAAAAAATCAATAGTCGTGGACTAAAATTGCAAGGTTCAAAAGTCGTGGATCAATTCTGCCAATGCCAATATAGTCGTGGGACTAAAAGTGCACAAAACTCTAGATGGGTCTATTTGATACTTGTGCCTTTATAATATGATCCACACAGCTGTGTGAACTATATAATTGCAATTGTGTAGGGTATAAGGAATTCTTGAAAATTAAATAGATAAATATAAATTAAGTAAATAAATTGCTAATATTTTATATCTTAAGACTTTTAGTCTTTAATCCCCATCTAGGATTTTTTTTAGGCACAAATGCCAAATAGACACATCTACTAATTCGAAATGCTCAATTTCCCCATCAACTAAAACATAATCTAATTGGACACACTTACCTCTAAAAATTTGTCATTTAGCCTTTTTTTGCAGGTTAACTCCAAGTTGCCCCTCCACACGGCTAACATGTAATCTATACTATATATAAAAACAAAATCCTAAAATTTTAACTTCCCGCCCAATTCCTAAAAAATCTCTCTTCCCAATAAAATATATTGATTTCTACTTTCCCATTCGTACAATAATTCGGTTAAAGTTGTGAAGTGTCAAAAGTTCGGCAATGCATAACTTTTGACTCGGTTGTCTGTTTTGGACAGATGTTTTTTTGAAATTGTGTATTTTTTCGAGATATATCCACCGCAAACTGCCGCAAGCGGTTTGGCCCACCAATTTCTTAAAAAAATGCTTTATTAAATAGTTTATAAGAAAAAAAACTATGAGAACCTTATGTTTTATTAATTAATTTTTAAATTTTTTAATTAAAAAATTGTCCCGTGCATTTTTTTAATAATCTCTCTTTATAATTGGTCAAATTATTTAATTATGCTAAATTAGAGATAATTATTAATGATGGTAATAGAAATCCTATAAGCAACCTCTGGTGAAATTAACTCTTAAATAATTATATATCAATTTAAATATTCTTAGTATATTACAACAATTCCATTCCGTGCATCGCACCGGTAAAAATACTAGTTTTATTTAAATAAAAATGATAATGATGTGGAATTTAGTTCCTAATCTCCCGCTAGAACTGCCGATCCTGCTGCTACGCGGGAGAGAGAGACAGGCGCCGGAGAGGAGATGTATGCTGTTTATGAAAGGCAGAAGACAGAAACAAGTTAACATCAGTATGTATTTCAGTGCTTAAGTTGTTTGGTTCTGAGGGTGGAATTTGTTGTGGAAATATAAATGATGAATTCAAATTTTGGAGAATCTCATCTGTTGAGAACGAAAGGCTCCAAATATGATTTCTAGAATTCAAAAGTACTTTACCACCATCCAGTGGCGGACCCAGAAAAATAGTTGAGTGGGGGCGAAATTCAAATAATAAAAATCGTTTATAAGTTTATAACAAAATTAGGACTGTGCAAAACCCGTCCGACCCGCCCCACTGCTTGGCTATCGGAGTGGATACCCGTACCCGACTCTCCTTACCTGATCCGCCATTCAATACGGCGTCGGTTTAAAAGGTTCGGATGGGGTGTACATTTTTGCCAACCGACCCGTCCGACCACCCGAACTATCCTAGGGTTCCCTAAGGCCTTGTATAATACGGCGTCGTTCCATCAATGTATATATACATGCCTTCCACCACTTGGTCTTCATTTTCTCATCCGCGCAGCTGACCTAGGGTTTGAGATCTGAGATCGCATCTCTCATTCTCTCGACTCTCAACTCTCTGTCTCTCTCACTCTCTCAGTCTCTCACTCTCTCAGAGTCTCAGACTCTCACTCAGTCACTCTCTTAGACTCTCAACTCTCTCAGACTCTCAGTCTCTCAGAGTCTCAGTTCTCTCAAGAGTCAAGAACTCAAGACTCAGCACGCATCAGTCATCTCTGATTTTGTAAATCCGTAAGGTAAATCTCTACTCTCTTAATCTCTATTTCTCTAAGCTCTAATCTCTTACAGTCTTACTCTGTAATCTGTAATCTCTAAATCTCTAATCTCTTAATCTCTATTGTCTAATCTCAGGGTTCTCAGAATCGAAGCGTTGCAATCTCTAATCTCTAATCTCTTACTCTCTGTCTCTGAGAGTCTAAGTGGTAGAAGCCGTGGTGATTACTGGTGAACTGGTGATTAGAAGCCCTTGTTCTCCCGGGATTATTTGGGAGAAATCAAGTAAATCGTAAACCCTAGTTTTATAATTTATATATCTTCATTTGCAATGAGTCTGTGATGAATATTTGGTGATATATTCATATATTATGCTATTTGTTGGTGGAAGCCTTTTACAAACTGATTTCTAAGTGTTGATTTTGTGAAATCTGGATTTTATGCCATGCAAATTTGTAATCTAACAATCCGAGTTAAAGGCTAAAATGTGAAATCTCCAGTGTGGGAATTTCCATTTATTGGTGGAAGCCCTTAACTCAAATCCAGATAATGATGATCTGGACTGAGTTCCTGAATCTGGATTTGTTTGTATAATTGTATATGTTATTATGTCTATCAGTTTATGGATGTATGAACCTTAATTGGTAATTGTTAAATCTGGAAAAATGATGACACAAACTACTATGTCCATGTGTCTGATTCTGGATATCTTTGTATGTTTAATTGTTTATTATGTAATTTATGTGGTCTCAGTTCTCTCAGTTCTCTGTGACTATCTGAATATCTGATTTTGTTCAATATGTGGAAGTGTAATATGTAATACTTCTATGTATGATTGTATGGTGGAAGCTTTAATATGATTGTATGATTTGTAATCTCCCTAAAATGTGGATACTGATGCCCATCTTTATAGATGGAAAGCATCAGTGCAACTGGACACCCTCCAACCTCAACTGATGAGGAGCATGGAGTAGAAGCTCAAGGTACTGAGAGAAATCCTCAGACAAATCCTATGCCTTCTCCTCCTGTTGTTCCTACAAAGAAGAGGAAAGAGGTGGAGTCTAGATCTATAGTATGGGATCATTTTGAAAAGATCCGTGCTCCACCTGCTGAAGGTGAAACTGAGGGACCAGTAGTTGAGGGCAAATGCCTTTATTGTGCCAAAATTTATCAATGTGAAAGTAAAAAGCATGGCACTTCCTCTTTGAAAAACCATATGAAGGCCTGCCTAAAAAATCCTCATTGTAAGGACACAGGGCAGTCTCTTCTCACCTTTAATGCCTCTGGAACAGAAGCTTCTGAGGGGGTTTTGGGGACTTGGGTTTTCAACCAAGAGGCTATTAGGAGGGCATTGTGTGAGATGATCATTGTTGATGAACTTCCCTTTAGGATTGTTGAGGGAAATGGCTTTAGGAAATTCATTTTAGTTGCTTGTCCTTGGTTTCAAATCCCTTCTAGGTGGACCATTTCTAGAGACATTTATCAGATTTACCTAGATGAGAGAATAACCCTAAAAAAGTTGTTTAAGGTGAGCACCCAAAGGGTCAGCTTGACCACTGATACATGGACCTCTGTCCAAAGGATCAATTACATGTGCATTACTGCACATTTCATTGATGATCAGTGGAAGCTAAACAAAAAGATCATTTCCTTTGTCTCAATTTCTTCTCATAAGGGAGAGTACATAGCCAAAGCCCTTGAGAGTTGTCTTCTTGATTGGGGGATTAAAAATGTCATGTCTTCACTGTTACTGTTGATAATGCCTCTTCAAATGACACAGCTTTGGGGT